TGCTATTAAACTTTAATACAATCCGATTTGTCATTCTTTCATTGAACGCCTATTATCTTAGTGTCCTTTGAACCAGGCATGGCTCTATATCCTGGGGATACAACTGTAATTAAAACAGCCTAAGCCTATGTGTGGGCCTTACATTTTAGAGGTTTGTCCAGAGTGAGATGGAGCCACTGGAGCATTTTAAATGAAGAAATGGCACAACTTGACTCACATTTGCAGGATGGCTCACAGAGGTGGGAGAGTAGTCATGGGAGGTGAGTGAGGGCGCAGGGCCTGAGGAATGAGAGAGTCTGGAAAGCAGGGCTGTAGAAACAGGAGGTGAGGATGTGAAGCTGAGCCAAGAATTTTAAAGTTGTAGAATTCTCAGATTTCGGTATGTTTTATAGATTTTTAACAAATACCTAGCTATAGGGGGTGTGGGGAGGAAGCCAAATTCTGGGGATTCCCCACCTCCCGGGAACTTCACTTGCTCATCTCTCAACCTGATTCAGGTTCTTCTGCCTGGTGACTCCTGACGTGCCCAAAGTTATTTTGTCACACTAGTGGTTTCTAGAGAAGCCAATCAGAGTCGTCGCCACGATTCCCGGTAACAAAAGCTGCATACACCCGCAGGAACTCGGATTCTCCCCGTCTATGGGGTGTGAGTCATGGAGTTCAGAACCCTGTTCTTGCTGCTTTTGGGGCCTCTAACCCTGACCCAAACCTGGGCGAGTAAGTACGGGGTCCCACGGGAAACAGCCTCTGTGGTTAGGATCTAGGGGACCGACCGCCCGGCGGGGTCGCAGATTCAGGGAAGCGGCATTTCTACCTTGTGAAGCCTGAACTTTTCCTCCATCTCGGACTCGTCCTGTCCTGACCTAATTTCCCGGTCCTTCTGCCCCCTTTTGGTCTCAGGAGTCCCCGCGTCCCCTCTTCCCATCACGGGCCGGATCAACCAGGGACCCCGGTCCGGAGGAGGTCGCACTGGGTCTTAGCTGCTCTCTGTCCTCAGGGTCCCACTCCCTGCGTTATTTCCACACCTCCGTGTTCCAAGCTGGCCGCGAAGAGGCTTTTTACACCTCGGTGGGCTATGTGGACGACACGCTGTTCCTGCGTTTCGACAGCGACGCCCTGAATCCGAGGGTGGAGCCGCGCGCGCAGTGGATGGAGTATGAGACACCAGCGTTTTGGGAAGCGCAAACCAAGATCGCCGAGGCCCACCAGCAGAAGTTGCGCTGGAACCTGCGCTCCACCCTCCGCTACCTCAACCAGAGCGAGGACGGTGAGTGACCCGGGACCGGGTGGCAGGGGACAAATGCCCCCACCTCTTTTGTAGGAGCTAAGGTCGACCGCGGCCTCAGAGACTGTGTCTGGTTTCCAGGCGACCAGACACCACTTGGCCTCTTGACTCAGACCCCGCGGGTATTCGCTGGGTTTCACTTTCCTTTTAGGCGGAAAAGGCCTTAGACCCACCCACCCTCCCACCCTGGCTGCTGGGTTGCGCTGGCAGAGTTAAGCACCAGATGTAAAAGCCGGAGCAAAGCCAGTGTGACTTCCGGGGCGGGGCCAGGCTCTCACACCTTCCAGTGGATTTCTGGCTGTGACCTTGGGCCAGATGGAAGCCTCCTTCGTGGATATGAGGAGTTTGCCTATGATGGTGCGGATTACATCTCCCTGAATGAGGACCTGCGCTCTTGGACCACGTGGGACAAGGCTGCTCAGATCACCCAGCGCAAATGGGAGGATTCAGGAGATGCAGAGCACTACAGGGCCTACCTGCAGGAGGAGTGCCTGGAGTGGCTCCGCAGATTTCTGGAGAAAGGGAAGGACAAGTTGCTGCACACAGGTACCAGGGGATGAGGGGAGCCCGACATAGTTTGGACAAAAATGGAATTGCTAACAGAATAACAGAGGACCTTCCCTCCTCTCAAGACAATTAAGGCATCAAGTCTTTCTTGGAATGGGGAGGGAGAAGATCTCTGAACAAACTTAAGAGCACATTGCTTTGACCCTGACAGCAGCCTTGGGTACCACAAGGTGACTTTCTCAGGCCTTGTTCTCAGCTCCACATTCAAATTGTTTGAGGTGTGACTCCAGGTTTTGTGAGTCTCTGGGCCTCCATTCAGGTCAGAACCTGAAGTCCCTCTTAGAGGTCTGGGGCATCTTTCCCTGGTCAGTCTGATTCTACAACTTTCCAAGGAAAAGGAGATTATCTCAGAAGCTTGAGTCCAGGCTGGTGCTTGGGTTTTGCTTTCCTTCCTCACTTCCATTGTCCTGTGTGTACTTAGTATGGTCACATGAGCACTGGTTCAGTGGCCATGGGAGGTAATGTAAAATGTCTTATTAAAAAATATTTTTAGTTGTAGATAGACACAATACATTTATTTTATTTATTTATTTTTTATGTGGTGCTGAGGATCGAACCTAGTGCATCCCATGTGTTAGGCAAGCACTCTACCAGTGAGCTACAGCCCCAGCCCCAACATGTCTTATTTTTCTAATTCTTCCCTTCAGAGTCTCCAAAGACACATGTGACCTATCACTTCAGTCCTGAAGGAGTTGTCACCCTGAGGTGCTGGGCCTTGGGCTTCTACCCTAAGGAGATCACCCTGACCTGGCAGAGGGATGGAGAGGACCAGATTCAGAACATGGAGCTTGTGGAAACCAGGCCTGCAGGGGATGGAACCTTTCAGAAGTGGGCAGCTGTGGTGGTGCCTGCTGGGGAAGAGCAGAGATACACATGCCATGTGCAACATGAGGGGCTGCCTGAGCCCCGCACTGTGAGATGGGGTAAGGAGGGGTTGAAGGCACAGAGCCTGTTGGCAGGAAAAGCAGGAGCCCTTCTGAAAATCCTCAGTAGGGTCAGGGCTGAGAGCTAGGGGTCAGGGTCCCTCACCTACCTTCCTTCCCTTCCCAGAGTCACCTGCTCTGTCCATCATCCCTGTCATGGGAATTGTTGCTGGCCTGGTTCTCTTTGTAGTTGTGGTCACTGGAGCTGCGGTGGCTGTTATGTGGTCGTGGCGGAATGCAGGTAGGGAAGTCAAGGGTTCTGGGTGTACCTGGTCTAGGCCCCTGGTAGAAGTGAGCTCTGCCTCATTAATGGGAAGCACCATCCATACACACTTGCTGATACTCACTCTATTGTAAAGCACAAGGAAAATAAAGGACAAAATGATCACCATTATGATTGTCATGATGGGGACCTGATCCCAGCATTCAGAGGGCAAAGGGGTAGGTAGGTCCCTGCTGGATACAGACCTCCAGGAGAGTGATTGGTTAAGTGCCTGGGCATCTCCTATCCTCATGCCTCTTGATCCTTTCTAAGGTTTCCAATTACAGTTCAGGAACCTTCCCTGGGATCCAGGCCTAGGGGATTCCTCAAGCCCTCATAGCTCTGCCTCCTCCCTGGCACACACAGGTTGTTTTCTTCTCATAGGTAGAAAAGAAGAGAGCTATTCCATAACTGTTCAGAGAGTGTTGTCCCTGAGACCCTTGGAGTAGTGTAGATGGGAAAACAAGGAGGGTCCCTCATCTGCTCCATAATTTATTCATTCTTCACATACCTTTTGGATTTTGACTCTGTCTTGTTGTTTTTCTGACCCAGGCAATGACAGTGCCCATCACTCCAATACTTTTCTAGCCCCATAAAGGTGAGACTCTGGAGGGCTTAAAATGGTAGAAGGTGTGATAGAGGGGAATGGAGAAGGTTGTGGGAATTCTCTTGGATCTTTGGGTGAGTTCTGGGTTCTTCAGAATGTTGTCCCTTTGAGCAACTGCCCTGATTTTGTTCATGACGCTTTTCTTCTGTAGCAGAGACAGCTGCCTTGTGTGGGACTGAGCAACACAAGATTTGTTCAAGCATTTGTGACTAGAAGAACTCTGGAGTCCCTTTCTGTCATGGGTTATTAAGCCATCCACATTCCTATTGGCATAATGTGCAGAAGTGAGACCAGTGCACAGGACCCCTGTCCTGCACCATCCCTTGCCCACTCACCTTTCCTGTTCTAGCAGAGGTGATGCTGGGATGACTCCATCCCTCTCTCAACATCACTGTGCACTGAGCCACAACTTCTTACTTCCATCCTGAATATAAGAATCAGAATATAAATATTTTTCAAAATCTTGACCCAGTGGATTGATTGGTTAAT